TTCCAGATAAAGACATTCCTAACAGTTCATGTTACTTCTGGACTGCTCATGTTTGTTTGTGAACCAGCAGAGCAGATGAGCTCTGATTAAGGCACACACAGAGTTTAGGCGTCAGGCGTCAGGCATTTGTCTCCATATTATGGGATGAGCCTTCCCAAGGAAGCAGTGTGCACTGAAAGGTGCAGGTATGGGGTGGAGAGGAACTGCTCAGGGTACAGTCCCAGCCCATGTGGCCTGTGTGCTTCATAAAAAAATTTTACATCATTTCATTATTATGACTCAGTGGTGACAATTTGTTCCTTTTTTTTTAATGGTATACGTAATTTCTCAAAACATATGGAAAAGGATGTTTTTCTTGAAATAAATTAACTTCATTGAAGAATTCCTCCTAGCACATAGGAATAAATATCTTAGAAAGTCATTCTTTGCCATTATCTGTCCAATACTCTGGAGAAAGATTTTGAGTATTTTTATGCCTGTTCTCAGTAATGATCATCATTCTGCCAACAGGACACCTAACCTGCCTGGAGAACAAACTGTAGAAAAAATGCATTAAGACTCTTAATTTTCAAGTGGAAATAAAGGAAATATTCATATTTTTGCCTCTAATATTTCTAATGCCAATGGCATGGTTTTCACAGTGTATTTCCCTCTTCAGTCATCAAAAGTCTCAGGCATTATGTAAGCTGCACTGCATTCCTTGCTGCACAATCAACTGAACAAGCCCATCATGGTTATACATCAGGACTGACACGGTTAGAAAGCAATCCCAAAGCAACAATTCCCATCTAACATGTTGCAACCACACAACAGAATCCTATCAAAACTCCCTATGGTACTACCAAGGCATATTTATTTACTATGCTACCAACCTTCAGGATCCTTCTCTCCTCAGTTTCTAAAGACCCACCAAAAGTCTCTGTTGATAAACCTATGAATGATAAATCAATGCTCCGGGGTACTTAAGAAGGCTCATTTTGAATTTAAAGCTAAATTTCCACTAATACTGAATTTCCACTAATTCCACTAATCTAATACTACTTAGATTTACTAAGCTACCTGAGAACTCCCTAGTTTTTCACTGATTTATTAATATGAAAACTTCAGATGTGACAGGAGCTAAACTGAACTGGATTAACATTCACCTTTCAAACTATCAACCTTCAGGTTGGGGATTAAGTTACGAAGAGGATTAAGTTGTAAAGAGCAGGATTCAGTGGATTTCACTTTCCTGTTACCAGTGTAACAGGACATCATCCAGCACTAAGAAGTTCTCAAAATGTTTAATGAAGTCCTGTTCTTCCCAATTCTGAAACAGGATTCCTATCCTCACATGAAATGTTTAAAGATAATAATTTCACTGTTAAATTGTCTTTAATGCAACAGCAACCAAAGGTAAACACGAAAACTGGGCATTAAGTATCCCCTTGATTCTGGAACAATGATGTTAAAGCTAGAAAAAGGTGTAAAAGTAGTGAAGTACCTAACAGCGAAACCAACTCATTGTACTTCCAGCAAAAACCGCGGGGGTGCAGATAACGCGTGTGCCTGCTGCCATCTCCTGGTCCTTCAGAGGTAAAACCATCACAAATATTAATTCGTTTTCCTTTAGAAAAATGTCAGGTCTTCGAAGGAAGACCTTCCCCAACACCGGAAAAAGATATCACTTTATGTTCTACAAAAGGAGATTTCCGAAGTCTCAAAATCAGCAAGAATTTATTTCACTGTACAAGGCAGCCACAACCTGGACACAGCTACTTTCAAGCTAAATGGAGCTCTAACATTGGCTTAAGTAAAGAAACATCAAAGCTCTCTCATTTTATAAAAGAAATAAGTGCTTACCTGACTTATTCTAATTTCAACATACATTCAGAAAAGTAACTGTAAAAATTGCCACATGGCATTCAAAACCAAATCAAGTCCCTTTGGAAAGTCTACTCATCACATTAAAAGTTACAGTGCAGATTATTGGCTCATACTGACTCATTTTAATACCCATTTCTTTTCATGAATAGTTCAAGTTCAAGGCCACCTTTCACTGTTGCACTACTCTCATTACCTTTGGTGAAGGGCACAGCATTGATACTTGTAATAATATTCCATGTTTTACGTTTTAAAAATAGGATCGGCCAACTTGAAAAGAGATGTTATTTTCACAGCTGACAAGAGGCACCTGTACTTACCCTGCAAACTTTAGTGCTACAAAGACTGTTGAGACTTTCATTTCATAAGCTGCTTTGCTATTCTGGAGAGAAGAGACCTGTGCACATCCCCCTGCAGGTTACAAGACAAATAAATAATGGGAATGAATTCCACAATGGATTATGTCTCCTAGTGTGCTGGATGACTACGGGAATGTGACCTGGCTTGCCTTAAAAAAAAAAAAAAAAAATGAAGGCCTACCAATGATTTGGATTCCCCATGGTTCAGTGACAATTGCCATGGGGAAACAATCACTGAATGTTGCAGAAAAGCCAAGCTAAACACAGAACATTTCCTTTCACAGAACGAGAATCAAAAAAACCGTGTCGCAACATCAAGCTGTAATTGAGAAACTGAACAGCGACTCAAGAGTTGTAAGAGACGTAAATTCAATGCAACTGGGATTTCACATTCCTTATGAAAATGAAGGTTTTGTCATGAGATAATTAAAGCAAGGATAGCCAAGTCCTGGTGTGCCAGGAGTACAACTCAGCCTGTCCTCGTGGTTCGTGAGAGTCCCTTGGAGCAGGTCAGGACAGCCTGTCCCAAATGAGCCCCTCACCCTCAGCAGCATCCCTGGCAGAGCTGCAGATCCCTCCCCCTGCTGGACATTCCCTAAGCACAGACTGCAGGCACTGTCTATGGAGCACAGTCAGCAACATGCAGAAGGATTTGGGTGCATGTCCCCATCACACCTGGCTGGGCCATGGTCACATGGCAGCTGCAGCTTTCTTACACCACAGAAGAAACAACAAATTTCCAAAGGTTGTGCAAATTGCACAAAACACAAAGGTGTTGGAGAAGGGAGCACACCAGGGCAGAACCTGGTGCTAATCGTGGCACAGCACCAGAGAGAGAAAGGTGACCCAAAACTCTGAAATGCCAGGTGCAGGAAACTCAGAGTTCTAACAGAGGTCACCAACCACTCTCAGTGCCTGCCAGGTGAATCTTGTCAGCAGTAATGAAGAAGCAATTAAGTCTGTTGCTAATAAGCATATACACCTGTGTGCGTGCAAGCCATCCAAACTGAAACACAGGGACACCGACTTGAAACAAGAAACACCTGGATTCCTTTCTTCTGTCTGATTTCAACAGTAAAACAGCTAGAGGAGAAATATCTTGAATATTAATCAAAAGCTCTACTATATTGCCAGGTCTCATGCTTTCAAGTTATTCTATTTATCACAAAAATGAGCAGCTCTCCAAAAGCAAAATGGACAAGAAGCCAAGTGTAGAAAAAACCCAGAAGGCTGTAACCACTTTGGGATAGATAAATAAAAGCACCCTAGTACCTAAGATTTTAAGCAAAACAGCTGATATTCACAGCAATCCAAGTTCTAAAAGCTAGGCTTTTAGTACATTTCCAAGGTTGTAAAAACGCTTCCATTATTACAACCTTGGAAATATACCACTCTTACTCAGAAAATATGTTATTCAGAAGACTTATGTATAACACAATCACTAGTGAACAAGATCCAGAATCAATTTCCCATGGTTAAATTAAATTATTCAGACCTTTTCAGAACTTCAGCACATGACTTCAGGACTATAACATTTGTTTTAATCACAGCAGCCTGACCCCTGAGGAAAACCATGCTTCCTCTTGGATCAAAACTGGAACCAAGTGAAAGCCTAAGCTTTTGTGAAATTGTGTTTTATTACAATAAAATAAGCGATCACACCATCAACTTACTCTCTTAGCATTTGGCCCCTGTACTGTGTAATGACCACATGGTTTCTATCCTCAATATAAATATTTCTGTTTTGAACGCAACTTCATCTTAAGACTGTTCATTTTTTTCTTTCAAGGGCAATATGGGTATCTAACACAAGTATGCCTCAGATGATGCTTTGGAAAAATCACATTTAGGGAATAATTTCATTTGCAACTATGCTTTGCCCAGCAAACCCATTAACTTTCATTTTCTTGCCTATAATTGATTTTATAATCTAATTAGCTGGCCAGCTTGTTACTATCCCAGCAGACCATAACTTCTGCTCTTCATATTCTTAACACACTTGAACATTTCCTTGTTTTGCTCAGTCTCTCTTACCTGTTAACCTCTGCCACAGCTCCCTCCAGGTGACGGCCACTGCCGGCTGCAACATCTTCCTTGGTCTCCCTGTAGTAACAGGACTGAAGTTGCTCGACCAAGTAGCAAATGCCCTTCACCAAGGCACACCAACAACCCAAATGCTTCTTAACCCTTTTTTAAAAATTTCTGGAATTATTATGGATTGAAAGAAAAATTGTTTATCCCGCTTTCCCACCTTCACCCCACCTGCTTCTTCAGAGTGCTCGCAGAAGAGAATTTTTTATTTGAAACAGCTACTGCATGACTTACACCACGAAAGCCACCAATAAATAATAAATTTAGGATTTGTTCAATTCATAACTGGAAAGTACCATTTTTAGGCTCGTGAGGTCGAATACACCTTGGCAAACGCTGAAACGCAACTCCGCGCAGCATTCCCAAGGCAGAGCTGCACACTCGCTCCGGCCCCGCTCCGCGCGCCCCTCAGACCCGCCCACACACGCAACGGCTCTGGGAGCGGCCGGCCAGTTTAACATGGAGGAAAAAACCCCTTCTTTCCCTCCAGGCAGCCACGGAACCCCGTAGGCTGCCGCCCGTTTTTCACGGGTAAGGGCCCCAGAGAATAGCGATTCCCGGAAGGAAAGCCGGTGGTGTCGGCTGAGGTGGCGCGCGTCCCCCTCAGCGGGGCCGCACGCGCGGGAAGGGGCGGGGCCGGGCGGGGGCGGGGCCGGATTCGAACCGGGCGGCGGGGAAGCGGCGGCCATGGCGGCGCAGCAGCAGCTCGGCCGGGAGCAGCAGGGCATCACCCTGCGCGGCAGCGCCGAGCTCGTCGCCGAGTTCTTCTGTAAGGGGGCCGCGGGGGACCCCGGGGACCGCGCTGCGAGAGAGGGAGGGAGAGAAGGAGGGTGGGAGGGGAGGTGAGGGAGTGGGAGGCCGCGTCTTGTGGAGCGACATGGCCGCCGGCTGGGGCCTGGGGTGGGTGCGGTACACATCCCTTTCCCTCTCCGTCTAAACCGTGCAGCCTATGGAATCAACAGCATCCTGTACCAGCGGGGCATCTACCCGCCCGAGACCTTCACCCGCGTGCAGAAGTACGGGCTCACCCTGCTGGTGACCACGGACCCCGAGCTGGCCAACTACCTCAACAACGTGACCGAGCAGATGAAAGGTGCGCGCCGGCGGCCGGGCCCTCCCTGCGGTGTCCCCGCCGCCGCTTCTCGCCCTCTAAGCACTGCCCTGGCTTCTTGCAGAGTGGCTGTACAAGTGCATCGTGCAGCGCCTGGTGGTGGTCATCTCCAGCATCGAGAGCAGCGAGGTCCTGGAGCGGTGGCAGTTTGACATCGAGTGTGACAAAACTGCAAAGGATGACAAGTGAGTACCGCGGTCCCTCCGCTCCCGAGTACCGGGGCAGGCACAGGATCAATGCCATGGACTTGTGCCTTCAAAGCTTTCTCAGTGCCCTACCCTCTGTCTGCAAACCAATCATTATATAATTGAACACACAAACAACAATAAAGGCAGAGCAACTATCACTTCAATTTTTCTGACGATTCAAGTGTCACTACTACTCTAAAAATACTGCAGCAAACTACTAGAGGTTAACAAAGAGAACTGTATTTAGAGGAAACTGTCAGCGCACAACTTTCAAACTTCTCTTACCAGAGTTTTCTTATTTTTCCAGTGGACCACGGGAGAAATCTCAGAAGGCAATTCAGGATGAAATTCGCTCTGTCATCAGACAAATAACTGCCACAGTAACCTTCCTGCCACTCTTGGAATCTGCCTGTGAGTATCCCAAACTGCACTATAGAAATAAAATGCTCTTGAAAAACCTCAGTAACTTTCCAACTTTAGAAAATATTTTCTGGTTTTCTGAGGCTTTTTGACTATTACACATCATGTACCATCAGGTTTGTGAGACAGCACGTTGTTAGACTGAGATCAGGGCAGAATTTTGGGTGGCTTAATGAACTTGAGGAAATTAAATATGTATGCCCTGAGGAATACAAGTTTTCATGAATAACTTGTTCCTATGAAGTGTTATACAGAGCTTATCTCCACAGCATTTTAACATACTTTAAAAAAATTTTCAACACAATTTAGAGAAAACTAAAATGGCCTCATATGACTATCTTATTTTAACAATTGCTTTTGTTCACATAACTAGTATCACTGTAACTTCTGAAAAGCTTGGTCCTTGTCTCAAGTTCTAGAAGATGGACTTCAAACCTGCCATCTCCTTATGGTGAATTTGCTCTCCCTTGCCCCCAGGTGCCTTTGACTTGCTGATCTACACGGATAAAGATTTGGCAGTGCCAGCAAAGTGGGAAGAGTCAGGCCCACAGTTCATAGCCAATTCAGAGGAGGTTCGGCTGCGTTCCTTCACCACCACAATCCACAAAGTCAACACCACGGTGGCTTACAAGAAGGATTCTGTTCCCTAAGATGCAGGGGCAAGTTTTGTCCTGTCACCTTGTATAGTTTCTGTTCATCATGCAGCTAAGCTATGAGCACATCATTACTGTCCTCTTGATAGAGCATGACACAAAAGCAATATGCCTGTCTGCAAAAATGTGACACTAGACTAAGCTGGCATCATTTCCAAAGAAATTTTAAAAAGGTCATAGTTCAATTCTTACTTTACTGTATGAGCTAATCTAATGGTGTGTTAAACCACTGCCTCTGCTAGAAAAACTGCCACTGCCTAAATCTGGGATTAGCTGCTAGAATTATGTTCAGCTCATATAACTGTATAATTTAAAATTATTTTTCAACTACACTCTGTTAGCAGTCTTAAATTCTCTGTAGCAACCAAAATAATCTCACTCCTAGTGTGCCAGTTTTCATGTTGGAAGCCTGGGCTGTTTTATTACCAGAAATAACCCAAAAATGAATCATCCAAACAATTCTTGTACTGCTCTACAATGGAAGCAGCTGTTTATCAGGAAAACTTTAAATAGATGAAACCTTGTATTTTAATGACCACTGGGCTCTAGTTCTGGGGACAAAGTTGTTCTGTGTACGTCTGTAGTGTCTGTCCAGCATTTTCTATGTTTCTATTCTTGTTTTACAGAATAAAACTTCTAGTTTTATAGTGTTCTCTAATTCAGAATCTGCAGTCCATTGTATTTCATATGGTTTTATGAATGCCACATCATAAAACAGTTTCTAACTGCCACACAAGTAATATCCAAAAGGCATCCTTCTTGTCTCGTTACTTCTTTGCTTCCTGAGGCTCCAAGTGGAGTGGAGTCGGCAGGAAATCCATTCATGGATTAACAGTTTGCCCCCACCTAAGTCTTCAAAGAACAGTTTAAACAGTCACAGCGAACTCATGACAGTGCCTTCCATATTTGTTGAACAGCACTGGACTCTTCATGTGTCCTTACCCATTTCTGTAGTGGAAGAAATTAGGGATTTAAATCTCTGCAACTTTCAGACTCTTCCATGGTTTTCTTCACTTCCTTCACTAAACTCATTCCAGCCAGAGTGTTGAACTGGTTTTTCCACTCTTTTACAGTAATGTAGGACCTTCTGTTATAATAATATAATTTCACAAGTTTATTTTAAAAACATCAATTACATATACCTCACCCCATGACTGTATTACAACCTTTTTAGGCTTTGCTATTTCCAGGCAATAATTCTCCCCAACAGTCCCAATCCAGCAGACGTTTAAAAAAGAAGAAAAAAAAAAAAAGTCTTGCCAAAAAAAGGGCTCTTTAAATCAGGAACACAAACCCCTTATTTTTTCAAAAATAAATACAATCTAGGTACTTAGAAAGTGACATTATTTGCTGCTAGGGTTTGTGCTGCACTAACAGAAGAATACCTTGGTGTTTTCTTTTGCCTGTTTGCACAATTGTGACTCCACCACCCCTTCACCCCCAGAAGCAGGTGCACATCCAAGAGTGAAGTCTGCAGTAGTGAGCATAAAACCCACTTATTTTACAGAGATGGAAAAGTGAAATTGCTCCAAGAAGTTCATTCTGGTACCAAACAGAATTTATCTTCTTGAAGAAGGGCCAGCCCAAAGTCCATCTCCGTCATCATCATCTCTGTATTTCTTCTTTTATACAGGCACCAGTCAAGAGAAGTTGCATACAGATCACTGCATGTAGGTCATGTCCATGAAAGGTTCATGTGAAAAGGAACAGGTCATAGATCCTGAAGTTTTCACAAAACCCCTGCAGAATAGGGAAGAAAATAAACAAGAAAGTAATACTACCTCCCAGGAACCAAGCCTTCATGGAGGTGTCCAACAAACAGCACGTGCTGATTCCTAGTGGGATCCACACTCTTGATTAGCTTCCCCTACTCCAAGGTCACTTTTGCAGAGTGACCATCAAAACCAAGGGAGCACCCCCTTGATCTTGAATGGCAGCTGGTTGTCCTTAGGACAGGGAATGAAGGGTGAGCCTCAGAACCAGCCCCGCAGGCACTGCTCACCTGCCTAGTTGAGCTGACGGATGAGCTGGTTGATGGCATCCCCTCTGAAGCCAGGCTTGCCCATCTCCTTGAGGAAACCCACTCTGTTCCGCGATGCGTGCCGAGCCACCGACAGATGGAATGGCCACAGAAAGCTGGTCGCTCTCTTGAAATGCTTCCCAGTTGAGTAGATTTCATGAATAAGGTCTTCCAGGCAAATGATACCGCAGCCCCCTGCATGAGGAAACAAAAAAATAAAGACACGTCCAACTGTATCATCTTTCCCCACACTGACTCCAGAATTGCCAGTCCTCCAGTTTGGCAAGATATTGTCTCTCCCCACCCTTTCAGGTCAGACTGTAAACTCTCAACACCTAACTCTCTTCTCCTCAGTTTTCTCACCCTCTTCCTCACCTAAATGTTCCTCTATCAGCATGTTGTCTGTCAGAGGCACTCTCTTTTTCTTGATCTTGGCTTGGCCCCGTTTCAGGATGAGCTCTCGTACAGATTTCAGGTTAGGCTGTCTGCACAGAAACAAAAATCAGATTCTGTAACAAAGAGGATGCAGAGGGAAGCCCATCCCACTTCTTTGTGCAGAGGTGGTTAAGTAACAAAGTTACATCAAGAACAATGAGAACAAAGACAATAACAAGTTTTAGACATAAAGCTGATGAAGTTTTGACCATTACTGGAGAAGTACCAGATGTGTGATAGCAGCTGGAGAACCCAATGACCCCCACGTCACGGGAGGGGTACGTACCCCCACGCCACGTAAGGCTCCACAATCCGCAGCATCTTCAGTGACAGCGGGCTCAGCTTCACAAACACCCCGGTGTAATTCTTCTTCAGCCGCAGCAACTCAATCACCCTTCTCACCCTCTTGGTCACGCCCTTAATACTGAGGGAAACAGAACTTATTAGCAACCACACTGCTCTAAAGGCCTCAGATCAGCTGCAAGGTGATGTCTGGCATGGAAATGACACAACAAAGGGCAGCAACAACAAGGCAAGGAGCAGGGGAAGGCTCTCACTCCACAATCCTCACGACAAAGGCCAGTTTGCTCTCCTGAGGCGCTGCTGCCTGCCCAGGCCTCTGCTCCATGCGCCTCAGGCGGGTGTCATCCCGGCGTTTGCGCCATGAATCCCGAACAAACGTCTCCAGGCGCCTGAACTGGATCTGCTTCCCCTTCTGCTGCTGCAGACAGAAGGAAAACAAAGTGAGGTTTACATCTCAAAGGCCAAATGAAATGCAGAAGTAGTGAACAATGTCCTTACAGCTTTGGAAGCAATAAGAAAATAAATTTGATTATGTAAGCCCAAGGGAGGCAGAACTGAGGGACAACACATGAATTTACACACAACTGTTATTTATGAACAGTGAGCAATGAGTTTTTCCCCAGGAAAAATATAAATTAGGGAAAAGACCTGGGATACTTCTAGGCATAGCTACACACACAGCTCAGCAATGACTGGAAAAGCCAGCAACAACATGTGGGCAAAACAGATGCTACAGCAATACCCCAGTGTGACTCAAAAATTACCCTCCAAGAGAATGTAACTGCATTTAAAGTCTGTTTCTATACTGGCACACATGCAAGAAAAATTTCAAACATTCAAGTAACTATTAAATATTGCTGATTTAAACAGAACATCTGGCTCACCTGATAAAAAGTCTTTTCATTATTACTAGAAAATGTAAAGCTCCTTTTAACAGATGTTTAAATGTCTCTCTTTAGCTTAGGAATGAGTACATCCACCAACACTCGTAGTGTTTTCTCATAAGAATAGGACTTGAAAATGCACAGCATTACACAGTTATATTTAGGATACTGTACTGGTTAAACGATCAGGACACTTTAAATGAAACAATCTAACGTTGTGTGTCTTCTGTTCTATTTCACCTCACAAATCACCCATGAAATTCATTTGAATTTTCAAAACAGGCAGACCTAATAAAAGTCTCATCACTAAGATCCTTTTTGCAATGACAATCTTAAGGAGTGGCTATTTAATATTATTGTTTATGCTCCCACCTTGGAAATACAGCAAGGCATTGATGCTTTTAAAAATGTAAACATGGTATCAAACAAAAATGGCAAGAGTTTTGCACACAATCCCACAAGATTCACTGGGAAAGCTTTAAGACAGACACCTACTCTATTAGCTGGGGAACATCAGAACAGGTCTCAGAATGGGAATTCGAAAGGTTTGCTGTGCTCTGCCAGTCTGGAAATGGCACAGTGTGCACAGGGTGGGTCTGCACTAGGACATGTGCCACCCCACAGGTAGAAAAGGCTTCACCCATGACCTGTGCTGCTCTAACAAGAGAAATAACTCTAAATGCACCCTCAGAAAAGCACGGCTTCCATGCAGGGTTTCAACACAAAGGTGGTTTCAGACAGTGAAATCCCATGGCAGCAGAGACAATTCAGCAGCGCTGCAGTTTCCCACATGTGGCTGCAAACACCTGACCACCACTGATCCAACAGGAACAACTCACCGTCTTCCATTTCTTTCGGTGTAATAACCTGTACAATTCTGTCCTCTTTACAAGGCTCAGAGACTCAAGCAGAAGATGTTGAGGGACTCAAGCCCCCCTCGGAACCCCGAAGACGACTCCTGCCCACCCGCGGTGCTCGGGCACCCCCTCTCTGAGGGGCCCGACCACTCGGACCCTTTCCCAGGAATTTCAGGGAACTGTAACTCCCTCCGGAGGAGGACGAGCTGGGGCTGCAGGCCCAGGCTCTGCCGGGACCCTCCGTACCTTGCGTTTGTTGAGCAGCGCCTGCTTGGCCTGGGTGGCCTTGATGGCCAGGTACGCCTTCCTCTTCTTCAGCAAGTTCTCCGGCACCAGCGGGATCCGCCGCCTCGGCCTGCGGGCGGGACAACCCGGTCACATCCCGGCCCCATCCCGCATCCCGACCCCTCTCAGGGAGCCCCCGTGGCCGTCCCCAGCCCGCGGATGGTGGCGGATCCCACATGCCCTCCATTCTTCCCTCTGCGCCGCACTTACTCCTCCAGCTCCGCCATTTTGCCAGGTCAGGGCCGCGCATGCGCGGGGCTGGGGCGGGGCCATGGCCGCTCCCCCTCAGGCGCCGCCGGCCCGCGCAGGGATCGTGGAGCGCCGGGAAGCGCCCGGCCCGGAGGGAAGGGACGGGATGGGGCGGGACGCGCTGCGGTTCTGGGCAGCCCGGCGCTCGGCCGGGGGCATCCACAGGCGGCGAGCCCGGGACAGGAGCGGCTGCGGGGACACGCGGTGTGACAGCCGCGTCACCCGCAGGGGGTGCCAGAGCCTCACGCTCAGCCGGGTGGTGCTGGGGCTGTGCTCCTGGTGCGGGATGGAGGAGGGATGGGTAACTTTACGCTCTAAAATAATTCTCATTTACACTGACCGTGGCGTACTCGCACCGGTGAGGAGCTCCAGCCTTGCCGGGAGGTTCGGTGGTGCCGGGGTTCCGCTGCTCACCTCGGCGGTGCTGCAAACCTTTACACCACTCCGGATGGGCCACTTCTGTTTTGACACCTAAAACATAAGAATCTGTATTTAGGAACTCGATTCCAAACAAGCCATTTTTTGGATATCAGAGTCAAAAGAAACAAGCTTATGAAATAGATCATCTGAAATTTTTCCCACAAGTACACAAATTTCACCCGGGACTTCTAAAAAGAGCTGCAATCCGTGGCAGTTCACAACAGAGAAAGCGGCCCATTTAAATGTACGGATGAACGTGCTTTGTTTAACAGGAGGAAAATGCAGACAGGCTCTCGGGTATTCCATCATTAATGGCCAGGAAACAATAAGTCAGTAAATATTTGAAACGCTGTTGCTATGAAATACCTCCGAGCACAAGAGCATTCTGAGGCTGAGTTGCTAAATTTGAACCAGTGGTTATCTTGTTCTAATGCAGGGATATTCAAATGCCCCTGTTCGCAGGGATACCCAAGAAAAGGGTTCCCACTTTCCTAGACAGCAACCTGTTGTACACTGGCCTTCAGCACTCTGAGCTTCTGCACACAACATTTTAGGGCTCCGATTCCAAAAGACAAGTCAGGAGATGAGGTGGGATGTCAGAGGTCCATGAAACTTATTTTCTCATTCCATGGGTATAAAATGCCATTTAAATTAATTTCAAATCCCACAAAATCTTTATTGATGCTGTGTGCAGTCTCAAAACAGCAAAAGGACTTGAAATCCATCATTCTCATCATTGAACTATGCCCCACTCTGAAATCTGTCTGTAATAAATTCTTTACAAAAAAAGCCAAAGAAATTATATTTTGTTTATTTCACTGCTAATCTAGTCTTGGGAATATTTAGATAAGGAAGTACCTTGTGATCTTAAATAATGCCTATTTTCAGATCTTTTAAGAAAAAAGTTGACACAATTTTGAAAGATGCCCAGGAACTACTCCATACACACACTCAAACCAATAATTAATAGAGAGAAAATCTGGGTGATCCAAGACTTTCTTTGATGAAAATAGCAATCATAACGAGATAGACTAATATTTCATTAAAACATTTTTGAAAATCACTGTGGATAGACGCATGGAGCTTATTATTTTCAAAATAAGCTTCCTTAACATGGGCATTTTTGTCAGAAATCCTGCAAATTCACTGCAAAAGGAGCTATGTGGGTATAATGAAGGATGAGACTAACATAGATGTGTACCCTCAGTTTGTGGCAGCTAATATGTCAAATTGAAAAGGCTAAAACATACAACTTATCTTTGTGTCTCCCTAGAAAAAAAAATTAGGTGGAGCAAACCAATTCATTCTTTAGTGTGACTAATTTATCAGCATTAATGGAAAATATTCCAGTTTCAAAAAGCTCAATTTTACAGTAACTGTTGTAAATAAGTCCCTGGAAGAACGGCAGACTACTAATAAAGCCCTGGCACTATCCACAATTATTGTAACTGGAAATTAGATCTGGAGTTTGAAGTTACAAATATTAAATTACAGAATACCTGTAATTTTTATCTGCCAGAATGTTTTGGCATATTCTAAAAGAGCAGCAGTACCTATTTACAAGTTTCCGAAGTGACACATTTGTAAGAATTAAAATGTAAATTGATTTTCTTTTACTTCTAATGCACTTGTAAAGGCCTGGCTAATGAACCTGAAATAGAAAAACTGTTTTTCAATTACAATAAACAGCAATGGAAATAATTTATTTTTCTGTGTTGTCTATACGAGAGTGCACAAAGTGGCTGCACAAAGTGGCTGCAATTTGAGTGTACAACAAATTTAATTGTATCTTTAAAGAAAAGTGGAGGTAAAAATAGACATCATTATATGTGGTCTCCACAGGTCTCCATGACCTCTTCTCCTTCTTCCACAGGGATGAAAAGCTGCATTTTATTTGGGAGAAAGACCAAATCAATTATGTCTGAGATGAAAGACAGGGAGAACAGAATAGGAGTCTTTCCCACACTCAGTAATTGGGAATCCTACCTCCTACTAGATTACTTTTTAATTGAACTTTTGAGATAATTACGCCATTTAGGTTGTGGAAGCATATTAATAAGTACACCACAGCATAAACTATTCATAAAAATACTACAGACTGGGGAGCCATAAAAAGAGATAGAATGGAATAACCTAATTAGGGAGTTTATCATGTCAGTGTAGACAACTCAATAGGAGATGCTTTGTATCAACAGATAATGTTGTCTGTCCTAAACCTAAGTGATTCTGATACAATGGTGGTGGGTTGCAGATGATAACTTTTAGTCTTTTTTTAAAAAAACTAAAGCATTTGATTATTTTTATTTTATGGCTCCAGTTACTGACACAACTACACAATATCCTCTGCAAGTTCAGTCTTGGAGACTAGGGAAACAACAGGCAGCTGTTATTTCAGCAGAAACAGGAATCAGAAAAGGATTAAAACACCATAACTGAGAAGTGACCTGCAGTAATTAATATGAAATCACAGCAGAGTAGTTTCATTGGTTTGTAGCAAGGCTGAGCCCTGAGGGAAGGTGTGGCCCTGAGTGCTGACAGTGCAATAGGACTATAAAGGTCATCTCACTTTTTCCCCAATAATTTATTAGGCAAAGTTCTGATTGGAATATTTGATTTTGCCTGCAATTATTAGTGACAACTCCCCAGTCAAGACAAAGCTACAGAGTGTTGGTGTTTGGCCAGGAAATACCAGGCAGGAAAACCCAGAGAGATGGAGAAGGAGGGATGTCAGCGGTCACCTGTAGCTTTATCCCAAGAAAGGGGCTGTGTCCCTACACACAGCAGAAACTAAGGAAGGGAGGAGGTACTTGCAGGATTCTCCTCATGGCACAGCAGATGTTATAAGGCTGAGTGCTAAGGCAGTGAGACAGCAGATAAAAATCAGTAAATAAAAGCGCAGCAATTTTTCAAAAATTGTTCCATTAAATTGTGAGCTCAAAGTGAAGTAATAAGCTTGGGAGTAGGATTTTGGAGTTATTAGAGATAGATAAAAGCATCAGCTTAATACTTAGGACAACAGAACAGTAATTGAAAATTATTAGAGAAGGGGTAAAGAACAAAGCAGAAACTGATTCCACAGTGTGTCTTCTCATACCCACCCACATTTTGGATGCTCCAGCTTTGGTCAGTCATCTTTCTTCCATCTGTCCATCCCATACCTCCACCCACCTTCCCCCAAGACAGAGCTGGAAAAGATTCAAAGAAAGAAGATCAAACAGGGAATAGTTTCCATCTGTGGAGCAGTTACATAGACTGGACCTGCCAGCTGGGAGAAAGGTGCCTGAGGGAAGATGAAATAGTCAGTAAAATGATAAATGCTGGGATAATTGCTCCCTCTTTCTTTCAGCACAAGAGGAAGGGAACCTCAGATGAAGGTAGCAGGAGGCAGGCTGACAGGTAATATTTTGGTTTTTTCAGCACATGAACTCGTACTGAAGACCCAGCCCTCTTAGCCACAGCAGGAGTTACACATCACAGCCACGCATCCCTACCCACCTGCACCCTTCCCCAGTGGATCTGGCCTTTCTGCTAGCTCAGCTCCAAACTTTCCATTCAACTGAAATCTATCCCAGTTTATATTTATCCTTGCTATTCTAGCCCAACAGTAGAAAAGGCAGACAGAAACCAGTTTCTTTGCCTGCATACAGAAGGGCTCATTTAATGTGAACGCTCTCCCTTCTCCCCTGTTCAGCTGCACTGCGTCCCATTTTCCTGCCTTTGAAGTCCATCCTTTCCAGTCTTTAAAGAGCTTTGGATAAATAAATCCTGTTCCTGCAGTGATCTATTATCAGCACTGTCTAAAAGCTAGAAGAACGAGGCAGATCTGCCAAAAGCCTGAGGAGACATGGAATAAGTGAGAAGGGAATCAATATGTGTGTAGCTCTGGGCTGCACTGCCCAGACCACAGCTGTGGGGAGCACCTGCAGCAAGCAAAGCCCAGCTGCTTGGAGCATCCCTGTCCAGTTGGAACAGTGATCAATCAGCTGGCAGACTGAGACTTCAGGGGCACTCCATCACCTGGAAAAAAGGGGTATGAGATGAGAGGAATGCCTCAACAGTAAACCACAGAAATCCAAAGCAATAGTGCTGCTCCTCTGGGCTGTGCTCAGCAAGACTTGATTCCTCCCCAAGAGTTTTCCATAACCCCTGGGGGGAATCAAGGCCTTTCTGTATCAGATGTTCTGTTCTCACATCTGAGAGAGCTTCTGACCCAAGAGACTTCCTTAGGAAAAGCTCCTAAAGAAAAAACAGGTCCTGTTTCTAAACCAGTCAGCAGGATAACAAGCCTGTCATGCTAGCTCAAATTCTATATCCACATACTAATTATATTGTAAATTATTTTTTGGTATATTGTATAGATAAAGTAAAAGATTCATAATCTTTTTTCCCCTAATTTTAATAGTAAAAATAAGCTTCTTCCTGTCCGTATACAAACCCAGTAGTGAAAGAAAACACCCAGGTGCAGGTGCACTTCAAACAAACATTCATTATCAAAACTATCAAACAATTGTCAAAATGCTTGTTGTCTTCTTATTGCAGGGGTTCCATACTGTTGTCACCTTATCACAAAAGTTTCAGA